ACCTTCCACACGGATCATCGTTCGTATTGAAAGCGCGTAAATTCGCTGATAAAACGAGCTCAGAGTGAACTGGCAGACAGGTATGATCTTTGACCTCACCCTCTGATTGGCTAATGTAAATAGTTCAAGCGGTCTTTTCCCAAATATTCGCTCTGGAGGCAATCTCCGCGGTTTTCCACGCGAACAGAAATTCGGCCGCATTCGCGTTCGCCCCTAGTATAAACAACCTAATACAAAATCAGGTTAAGCAATCCAATGCGATCGCGGTCGTAGTCGCACTCAGTATAAACGGACCTTAAGATCGTTTCGAGAATACGAGGCCAGGTCTGTAAAAGGAACATTAAAAATCTTCAAAAATCATTAATGAAAATCTGCTAAACAATCTTTAAATGCAAACCTTAGTGTTTCGTTTCATATTGTTTTCAGCAGGTTACTATACAGAATTTGATATGAAATGCATATCAATTTTGTAAGAGCATGGATGGAGAGCAGAGTCACCAGCACAAAAAAGCCAAACGAAATCAAAACTCATATCGAGGTATATTATACTTTGAGTAAGCTAAGCAATGAGCACTGATCGAAATAACCACGACACTGTCCTTAATTCGAGATGATATTTTTTGTTTTTAAAATGTTCAGATTCAGATGCGGTAACCACATTACACAATTTTCCAATATATTATATTGTATATTAAATTAATTGGTTTTTCTTTGGCATCTCTTAAATTTCTTTTAGTTATCATTTTCCATACAGTTTTATGTTCTTAGTAAATCAAATAAGCTTATTGAACATTTCATAAAGTACATAGCGTAACACATATATCAACCTATATTTTCTTTTTTTCCAATAACGATTTTTCTCCGAAAGCTTTCTATTTTTTGCTGTTTTTTAAGTAAATCAAATTTCAAATTCACATTATTCCATAAAAGTCTTATTTTATTGAATTTATTTCGAAGTGATCTTAAAGTAGGTCCCTATCATATTTGTTATTCTGCTCGACAACGAATGCCATTGAACTCGTTTCATAAATCATATTTCTACATGTCCATTATGTTTAAAACTGCTAACTAATCAGAAACACACAATACTCAAAAATTAATAGAACCTTTTTGAATGAAGTGTTATTTTACGTCATACAACGAAATGCGGTGCGCCTACTCAGTTAATTGCAACACAATCGCAAAATACAACGAACAAAAAACATCTTTGAATGGTACCGGAAAATAATCATAGTCCCGCTAATATTTTGAGGCCGCTGCACCTGAATTAATTTTGAGATCAACGTCAGTACCCACAACGTCCATGGATATTTCCGACACTTTCCCTTCAAAGTATCGATTTTGATTAAAAATAAATGGATTTTCCTGGTGTCATATGGGTATTTTACGAGAATGTAAAAGGTACACACTGTTAATCATGCTTAGAGATAAAATGTTGGTTTAGGAGAGTTGCATCATTTCAACTATACATAACAATGAGTGATGATTCATACTGACGCCACTGCTGCAAAACATAACTGATAGAAACCTGATGAATGATAGAAACCTCAGGGAAATGGAATGGTGCAAATAAGACCTCTCTCTGATCCAGGTGGTTGGTAGATGACTAGTAAGCGTTCGCTTCCAGCGAATGCTGATATCGCAAACTAGGTAGTTGTTGGTAGTCGAAGTAGTTGGTAGCTGGATTGGTTCAAATTGGATGATTCTGTGTTATTGGTTTGGTTGTTGATACTTGTTAGATCTTGTCGGGTCGAATATTCCATTTAGATCTTGCTACTAATAGTCATCCATGATGGAATGCGATCACCTAAAGCAATTTTTGTTTTAATTTGAAATCTGAACCTTTTTTTTCTTTCCAAAACTGCAGAATGTTTGTTGGCGTTCTTAATTTTTGTTAGACAGCCATTCTTGTGAAAATTGTTGTCCTTAGGAATTGTAAATGAACTTTTCTGAATGTCCCCACCAGGCATTTGCCATTGTTTTTCAAATGAATTATTGGATGCATTCGTCATTCGAACGATTTTTAGATTGCTATTGGTTTAAAGGGACGCAATCCAACAAAATTCAATAGATGGTAACACGCTAAAGATCCCCCGACAGTTGGAAATGCCACTGCCCCGGCCCTGGACTAATAACACAGTGTACGACTGTCAAATATTTTGCATATCAAATACGTGTTTTATACGATTTGTGTACTACGTTACTTACATTAATGTATCACGTATACGCTGTACATGTATATAGTGTTTGGTACGAAATGAGACTTTGGGTTCAGTATGCCTATGTATCACTGTGATATTATGTTATTGGTACGTTACATATATAGTAAATATTCACCATAATGTAGGCATATCACCCTTTGTTGTCCCGTTCAATACAACCAGCAATCGAGCAAGCAAGATAGTTCATGCCCACTTTAAGAGCCTTCAAGAGAAATTCCCCCATGTCTATAAGCAGAAAATGATAGTTGCATATTCAAAAAATAAGAACTTAAATGATAATATTGTTTATAGTAAACTAAAAACAATCAGTATATAACAGATACTATACTTCTATGCCTATGTATCACTGTGATATTATGTTATTGGTACGATTTATCACTTTGGGTTCAGTAGGCCTATGTATCCCGTCCACGTTACATATATAGTAAATATTCACCATAATGTAGGCATATCACCCTTTGTTGTCCCGTTCAATACAACCAGCAATCGAGCAAGCAAGATAGTTCATGCCCACTTTAAGAGCCTTCAAGAGAAATTCCCCCATGTCTATAAGCAGAAAATGATAGTTGCATATTCAAAAAATAAGAACTTAAATGATAATATTGTTTATAGTAAACTAAAAACAATCAGTATATAACAGATACTATACTTCTCGCCCATCGGGCGAGTCATTTTTTCTAATTTCAGATCAGAATAAGAACAGAAGAAAACCCAATATCAAGACCCTTAATCCTAAATTCTAAATAAAGTATCTGCTCCAATGCCTGTACATCTGGGAGAATCAGTAGAATATAGTTAAATTAGATCAATAACGCCGATAAAGATAGGTAATTTTTACTGCCAACATGTTTCAATTTCATATTTTTTAATATTATATATATATATATATATATATATATATAGTGGTACGATTTATCATTTAAGGTTCAGTATGTATCCCGTCTATAGTGTTATATATATATATATATATATATATATATATTGGTACGATTTATCACTTTAGGTTCAGTATGTATCCCGTCTATAGTGTTATATATAATATAGTGGAATATATATATAGTGGTACGATTTATCACTTACGGTTATCGTACCACGTCACTTCCTTAAACGCTAAAATATCGAATATACAGTGTTAGTATTACACACCTTTGGTTGAAATATAACCGAATGCCTCTGGTACTGTTTATGACGCTGGACAGAATTAACCAGAATTGGAATTCAGTGTACCGCCTTCACTTTGCTCTATTTATCGCGTCTACAACTCGGTCCAATACATCAAATTAAGATGTAATTGTGAGCTATAGATATTCGATGGATGTGTTCCGCAACTCTTTTACTTAAAATTCACTGTTTCTTTTAAGAAGAGTGATTAGATTTTAAAGTTTGAAGTTAATTATTCTAGTATTTATTAGTCTAAGTACCATAGTCTGGTTGGTCTAAGATAGTGATAATAAATGATATGTGACTTTCATTATCACCAGACGACCAATGAATGAGTTTTTAATTACACTTGACTTGATTCATTGAAAGCCTCTTCTTATAGAAAGCAAATACATCAGTCTTAAAGTCTCGTCATTAGATGTTTCAATACTGAATACTAGTTCCAATCACAACCTTAATTCCTAACCAATTATGATGTAATTTAAATGATGAAATGGAGTTTCACGTCCTACTTTTCTGCACACGTATACACGCAAATTGTAGTACCTGCGCATCAGACTTTTGCCGTATCGGAATGAATGGGCGCTTTTTTGTTACTGACCTGTATCAACGACCTATGCCGGGATCGAACGCCGGACCTTTGATTTAGTTGGCATGAGCGACCACAGCTCTGAGTGCCAATGATGCTGGTGAGAACCTCTGTCCTGTTCTCTAATCCTTTACTAACTATTTAAATACTTGTCTTCCTGACCCTTATTCAACAACAGAAATAAGCAGAGACTTCAACACATACCTAATAATGTCAATGGCGTTATTGTGGTTTCTTCTTTATTTTCCAATTTTTGTTTTGATCTCTTAAGACGCCATACTCGGAGATTAAGTTCACAAGATAAGAGTCTGTAAACTTTAATTAGGCGTAAGAATAGAATAGTTCATCTTTATTCTATCTATCCGATTTTCTTAAGCAGCTCAGTGAGAAAAGAGTCAACTTAACTTGATAACTAGTAATTGGACTTTAAAATATAGAGAAAAAAAAATTGTTCGAAAAGAGGACAAATTTCTAATCAATTTCGTGATTACGTTGAGTGATCATTCAAGATTTATGAATAAGAAATGTCATAGGAAATCGAGTGATAAAAAGTAAGATGAAGTAGTCTGGAGTAATGGTGACACCCTATTGTGGTTTAACACTAGATGTCAGCTCTCCTAATTATCAGAAATGTTCACATTCCAGACAACAACATCATACAAGATCCTTGAGTATGCCAAGGTGATTCACATAAGAGCTAAAATTCCGAAAAACATGTTCCTGATCAAAATATTTCTTAAATGAAAACTAATAAAAATGATCACAATATACAGATGTTAGAATTCGCGTTGACCTAAATGTACTCACGACGGTCCGAGTACTTTCACTTATCTATTTGAAAAAATCCTTTTTCAAATAAAGTATTTGTTCCATCCTAGGCCTGTCCATTTGGAAGATTCAAACCGTACCTTCCCCTAAAACTCTTCTTCAATCATATGAATAAATTTTCAAAAATCTCTTATGATTGCCATTGCCTTTAAATTTGTTGTAAAAAGGTTCTGTAGCCTACAAGGGTGGTTTAGTTGTATTCACTCCACTGGTTCAACTCGAGATGGTCGTGTAGGATGTCCTCCTTGAAGAATTTCAATCAGAGCACTACCTCCTATAAATGCTCCAACACCAGTAACAGCAATCATAATTGATATTAAGATAGCTATCATTGGATTTGAAAGAAGGATCCAAGTTTTTGGAGACTGTCCGTAGTTATAATCCACAACACACACAGCATCATTGGATGAGGTATCTTCATCAATATTGTTGTCCACATCATCATCTTTGCTGTTGATGTACTCTTCATCCACAATCCCGTCACAATCGTTATCCATTCCGTCATTGACTGCTATATGAGCCGATGTGTCCATAATGCACGAATCATAAAGATGTGATTGTCTGAATGCACCTGAGTATATGAAGCGTTTGCGGTCTTCCTCTGACAGACGCAGAGAGTGGGACCAAACGTATTTGGTTTTTGGAATCGTCACTAAGCCCGTGTCTTTCTGAACAATCACAAAATACCAATCACCATCTTGAGAAGTCTCCACGGGCTGATAAAACATACTTTGAAAGTGAGTTCCGTTTCCAATTCCCGCGAAGCACGTTGCACCAGTGGGAGTTGAGAAAGAATCACATAGAAACTTTGGAAATTGTTCTAAGGGAACTCCGTTTATTAGTATTGACATTGTATATGTTTTATCAGTAAGTATGACGTCCAACGTATACACCACGTAAATTGGGGATTTCGACTGCACATAAATATATTCCTTTGCATATATAGGAAAATAAAATATTCCATTTGTTGTTTGGTAAGATTCTGTTTGGTTGTCTGTTGAAATATGAAGTTCTTCTATGGAATTGTTTCTGCCTGAAAAAAGAAAGAACCAGAATAAATTCATGTTCCTAGCCTTTACTGTCATTTGGAATTTCTATGTCAAATTGTTTTGCATGATTTTGCATGTGTAAGATTCGTTGCTGTTACATATATTTGGCAGTGCTTACCTAAGATTTTCAAAGAGGCGTTCTTCATCCAAAACTCTATAGGTAATACAAAATGTTTTCCCCAGGCTCCCGCTGAAAGACATTCTTCGATGATCACCAACGTTGATGATTTCTTATAAGACCCACTGACAACCACGACTCCAGTATCAGATTCCACATTCACACCAGTTAAGTCACATTCACAGTCGATCATAAGAACATCGTAACGACTTAGAGAAACACTGATGGTTTCACCAGGGTAAAACCTTCCTTCATTAAACACCACAAAGCTTTTCATGTCTCTGGGAATTCTGATTCGTACCACTGATTTACTTGGGGTCGTTATAGCTAGAAATGCTTTGTCCATATAACTAGGAAGATCCGTCACGACTATGTACTGCTTTGACAATGATGTTATTGGAAACACCAAGAAGTTATCTTGCTTGTATTGGACGTACACCATAATGTCTTCCTTAGATGTGGCAACAATGGCACCTGAAAGGTAAAATATGTTTAAGATTGAAAATTTCAATTATAACTTTAAAAATGAGCTTACTTTTTTTGCAAATAAGTTCTTATCCAAAAGGTATTTGATGAAGTTTCGTCTATATATACTCGGCCAATACCATCGTCATCTTAATATATCTAAGAATTATATATTCATGTGCGATGAATACACATCTCGCGTTCAAGTGTCAATATGGTTGAATCACAATGAACAACTAGTTACCAGAATATGTAATTCCATTCATTTTCAGTTGTTTACATGGCAGTCGAGTGAATGGAAACTCTTCACCCATTGATAAAATAAACTTCTTATAGGTTCCTTTGATGGTGACCACTGTCCGAAACCTGGCACCATATCGCCATCTGACCACAACGTTGACAGGAAAGTACTCGTCGCAAAACGGTGCCATAAACACGAATGTCGTTCCATGAGTGTGGTCCAGAACTGGAATATTGAAATATAACATCGATCATCTTAAGTCATCTCAAAAGTACAAAAGACGATGGCTCCTCAACCCCGAAAGAATGAGCAAATGGTCTGAAAAGAAACTTTGTCTTGTTTGGTTGGCAATATCGTCGCGACAGCAATAATAAGTCTATATTTTAACCAATTTATATCACTCAAACGTTGATAGATCATAATACTCATCAAAGACAAAATAATAGATATCAACTTCCGAAGAGAAAAAACACATTATTGTGCACATTTCAGAAGCGTATCTTCCTGCTAATGATCAAAAACTAGAAAGAAATTGGGAAAGGGGGCTTCGCATGTACATAACATATTTACCTGATGTAAGAACACCGCAACACCAGGAAGTCCAGATGAACCATTGTGCGACTAAAATTTATATAAAGTTAATAAATCAGGACATTTTCAATGGACAAAATAAGAACAGAAAAGTTCGGTATTATTAGAAATTCGAATAACGACGCATGAAAAGTATTACAAAGATGAACCACCTTTTTCAACACGGCTCATTTTGTGAAAAGCGAAAACTGTGAAATGATTACAACGGATAATCCTGATTCAGAATAAAATTGGACACTTTTAACTGTGTACAGATTGTTTGCAAATGTCAAATTCGGAGGCTAGTTGATAAAAATTCATCTGAATACGATATAAGTGACCCTCGCACCATTTGCGTATTGTTCCGAATAAGAATAGTGGTCACAAGTTTCGAGCGCGACTCTAATGTAACTGAGTTGTGAATTGCGTTCGCAACTCATGACCACTTTTATTATTCTCAAACATACGCAACTGTTACTGTCCAACTTAATATAGTTTTTGCATTTGAAATCTAGATTGGTCACTTTAGGACTATCTAGTAATTATTACAATAACGACAAATACAAACACTGATATCTTTTTTAGTTGTAAGCCCACTTAAAATCTATTATTTCAACGGACTGTTTTAACAATTGTGATAAAACAAATTTAGCCGTTTTAACCAAACCAAAGTGGATGACTGTTTTAAGTGGGTTCACTTAAACACAGACAATTGGATTTATCATTCTTTTTACTTTTTTACTTAAACCTTCTTATATCAAATCAAATTTAAGATTAATATAAAGTATTAATATTTCAAACAAAGCAAAAGTTTCTTGTACTTTTGCGAAAATAATGTTGTTCTCAGATGCATGAGTAATTTTATACATTATTTAGCTACATGTATATCAATACTTAAAGATAGGGTTCCTTATTTTTTAGTGTCAAATTAAGCAAACTATATGATTAATTGGTGTTTCTTATGAATTCTCATGTATTCTTAATCATGTCATTTTGCATATTATATTAAGTGTTTTAACCAATCATAAATGTCCTTATATGTACGGTCTACATCAACCAAAAAGACTTTTTGAACTTTCTTGATCGGTCACCCATTGGAATAATTTTGTTGGTAATTCTCTTCTAATGAATTAATTATGGACATGTGAGACAAACTGGTATTTTTCCAAGCCACTTATTAATATAAGTATTAGCATTTTCATTTTTCATATTTTTTTCAACTTGTATATCTAGCCCTGTTTAACACAAAATCGTACTGTAAAAGTTATATAAAAATCGGAAATCCTTCAGATCCAAACATTTAAAAGTGTTTGAAAACTCCTTGTCCTTGTTACACATATAAAAAATTACAACAGAAACTTTTTTTACGATAACACATAGTTAATAAGTCTTATGAACAGTTTCAGTAACATTTATTGCTAGACATAACCACTTTATAGCCTAGTCGAGTAATATCAAAAAACCTTATTAAAGTCAGTAATATCTTTTTAAGTAAAAATATGAGATTGTTACCTAATTTCATTGTCTGTGGTGGAATATCCGATAAATCCAGAGAAATGTCACAGAAGCATGTACTCTTAATCCGTTTCTCGGCTGTCCAAACAAACAATAGCTAGCACCGAAATGCGGCGATACCTTCAATCCTCATTTATTTTTGTGTTCTTTACGTGACCATAATCACTTATCAACATAGAAGTCAATTCCTTGATTGGATTGTCTTGAAATCAATACAACATCGCATCAAGAGAAAATTGATTAAAAATGGAATTAAATCTAATTCCGAGTTGAGCTGTCTCATCTATTAAGATTGGTTTATTAAAAGGGCAGTGTGGGTTGTGGTATTTCGAGAAATGTCAAGTTCGAGGTATCTTTTGATTATACGGTAGATGGAATCAGTGTAACACCAATAAAGAGAATGTCAACTATACATAACGTCATATTAAAAGGACAGTGGTGCCCTTTTGGAGGGTTGGTTTTAGTCTTGAATATATGTCAATAGTCTTCAGAGGTACTAGAAATGTACAGCATAATTCCTTTAAAAATACTTCGAACTAGGAATTTTACTCACTATTTCAATATATGTCTTTTGTATATATAACAGAGTATCTTAAATTGACGAGTCGTCATTTTAACATTCAATCACAGATAATTCTAGACACCTTGCCCGGTAAATCTTCCTTGGTAATGAAACGTTGATGGGATATCGACACGCTTAGCACCAGGCATAAAATATCACTTTGGATATTTTTTGGATCGGGAGTTTTTGAATATTCACCATGACAAAAACTAGCGATGTAACAATGGATCGAGGCCCTGAACGTAACCCATCCGTATATCACAGCTGAACAGGTAGGACCAAATTTGCCGGACTGCTTTGAGCCCTATCTTTATACTAACTATCTACTAAATTCCATATTTAAAATGGGTAAATAATTGAAAAAGTTGAAAGTCGTTTTTCTGCTCGGTTCCTGGTCGCTTCAAATTGTTCAAACATTTTGTTAAGTCGTTTCACATAGTGCATTTCTTTTTTAGTGAGAACCAAAATCTGGAATACCTCGATAGCATTGGGATCAGTTTGTTTCCGAAGACGTATGACCTTAGTTTAAAAACACTTATTCTAATGATGGGAGTATATCAACACATTTATATCATATTTACATTGTAATAAAACGCACTTTAAGCTGATGGTTTCAAAACTGCCAAATTTTTAAATTTAGTTAGTCCTCTTATATTAGATAATAATGCCATATTCTTTGAACAAAGCTTCAAGAAGAAAATACATTCTAAGGGAAGTAAATGGAAATAAGCATGAAAACCACTACAAATGAAAAATGAAAATGAAATGAATGGAGTTTTACGTCCTACTCTTCTGCACCATGTGGTCTAATGAAGACGGGCAACGCCATGCAGGGTGCAATGAGGGAAATTTTGCCAGGACAGCGGCATTAGCCTGCTCTTTTCGATTTAAGTCACAATATAAATATGTTCCAAGTACAAAATACATTTTGGTTGTCTTGTCTCAGTTTGAAATAACTTGAATTAAACTGGAAATTGTTTCCTTTTTCACTCTATCAATTATGATAATGGATCATCAATCTTTCATACAACATCATTTTGCAAATTTAGATTGCAATATGTAATTAGAAACATCCTGAGGATACATATTGCACAACAAAACATTTTTTTTTTTTGAAGATTTTGCTTTTACCTCAACTTTGGATATGAAATTTCCATGGGATAATTCAAATAATTAACCAAGGCACTCGAATAATACATCAAAAACACTTGTAAACTTCATTTAAACAACAAGCGAGCCAAAGCTGTAGTTATAAAGTCCTACAAAAAATTACCAATGTTGGTTTTTTTGTTGTTGAATATTTGAACATCTGAACAACATATATAACTAGAACCGTGAGGTAAAGAGGCTGTGCGTGTCCGACCTGATACATAGGCGAAACGTTACAACGAAACGTTGCATTTTAAAGTCATAGTGTGATTTTTCAGCGAAAAAAGCATATTAACATTAGGTAGTTAAAAGTCGGTAAGCGACTTAACGTTCGGTAGTGAAAAGACGCATTAATTTGATAACATTCGGTAGCAAAAAGTGTTAACATTCGATAGTAAGTCGAAGAACGCACTGCAAAAAAACAAAACTATATCACCTGGAATAGCCTGATACTCTCCGAAACAAGAAAGCAGTCTGAATTGACGTAAAATGACAACAATAAATGGGATTACTTCCCTTTAAGTAGTGAAACTGGTAAGAAGGGCTGACGTGGAAAAAGCGTCTTGTCGTTCGGATGGGACAATAAACCGAGGCACCGTGTGCAACAGGCTGTGTACCTTAAAGATCCCTTGAAATCAAACATGAGCAGGTTAATGCCGCTGTCCTGGAAAATTCCTTCGTTGTACCCAGCAAGGCGTAGCCCGTCTTCATTAGAACACATGGTGCAGAAAAGTAGGGCGTAAAACTCCATTCATTTCATTTCCTTTCATTTCATTTAGACACTAACATATTGACCTGTCAGAGGCAGCTTGATTCTTACATTTCGAGCCATTTCACACAAAAAAACGAAATAATACCATTTAAATGATTATTAATTTCGCCCCTATGTCCTTGTGTATTGAATCTAATTCTGACCCCTGTAAACTAAAGATTTTATTATTATCATTATCAAGTAATAATCTACTTAAACTTTCGACTTTTCCAATTTCTGTTAGATTGATCAGAATACTGATCTGATATTTACATAAATATTAAAATTTCATTGTCAAATTATTTTGCGTTCTGGAGACAATTCACATGAGGCATGCCATAATTTATTGTACCACATAATTTCAATTTTTCTTCTACTCCAGGTACATTCAAAAGTTTTGGCCATTTTAATAATTTTTTATGTCGGTCATATTCACATTTTTTCTTGACCAAATAAAAACTAAATACTAACCAGATAACACAAATTTCTAGTATTGGAAACTAATCAAGCATAGTTCACTAATACACAAGTACTTGCTAGTTTTTATGGATTTTTTAGTTTGAACTCTACACCACATGTTAATCTACAATTTATTATAAATCAATTTACGATAAAAACAATCACAATTTTTAGTGCTGGCTTTTCTATCCTCAAAACGACACCAAATATATAGAATCAAATGACTAGAACAGAAAAAGTATTGAACCAATATTTTTAAGTAGTGTGGAAGAAAATAGGATTGTAAATACATGGATATACAAAGCAGTACATACTAAGAAAAAACTGCAATATTGTTGTGTGTGAGGGCGTGAGTGTGATTTTTTGAGTTTTTTGGGGGGTTGAGACAAGCTGCTCTATCCTGTTTTCCAAATTACCTTTTTCTTGAAATGATACCTTTTTCTTAGTACTGTTGTTGGTAGACTAAATCGATATTTTAAGGGAATACAACTACAAAGTGGATGTATACGAAATATTGATAGACTACGACTGGAGTATGGAGAAGAATTTTGCCAATAACAAAATTTTAATACACAGCTCTTGAACTTTTACATAGATTGAATGAATATAAAAAAAAATACGGAAAACTAATTAGCAAAGAATTTTATTGATTTATATATAAAAGAAAATGTTTGAATAAAATATTAAGTTTGAACAATGAATGAACCAATAACAAAATGGTATAAAAAAATAATAAGCATTATGCTCTCAATGTATATGAGACAAAACAATAAATAAATACATTTCTTTTAAAGAAATACGATAAAATGATCAAATGACTATGTTGACATAAGATGAGTATGTACTACTTCTTTCAATAGAGATCTGAAACATACTATAGTGTGTTTCAATTATGCTTTGTGATGGACTCTTTTAGAGTGATTTTCAAACCAAGCTTGTAAGATGCCATTTCTAAATAGACTCTATTGGTAGCATTCATTAGATACATATGCACCCAATTGCATTTCTGCTTATCCCCCTTTATTAGTTGTATGGTCAATCATATCATAACTCTGGATAAAAACAGAATTTGCATATCAATCTAATATTGCTTCCACAATTTGCATATTTAAGCATGTCATTTGAAACAATGTGCATACCAATCATAATATCTTTCACCATTTGTTGTGAAAAATTTGCAAAAATCAAGAAATTTGCATATTATATATGTCTTTATAAACAATTTGCATATATATGGTATTTTGCTTCGCGGATTTATGAATAAAAATTGTCTACGTATCAACCGTAAATGCATAGAACTTAACAACACTAGACGCAAGGCCAATTCAATTTGAATGAACCAAATAATGTCGTGTTAAAATATAGATAATTGAAATATATAGCATTATATATTTCATAATGGCGTTCTTGCCTACACCTCTCTTCCAAAATGTCGGACTTCTGTATGTCTTGATCAAACGATCCCAAAATCAACTTCTTTCAACTTGCTGCATTATCAACCGCCATCCATCGACAAACTTTTTTCAAAAAAGAATAGTCTTTTCGAAAAAAGGCCCCCAGAATCTATAAATAAGGCGTACAGAACTGGTAAACTAAACGTTTGGATTGTTCAGTCTTCTTGATGATTCCTTTGCGATAATATTGACGAATGGACCGACTTAATTTGTCGTAATTCATTTTTGGTCGATTTTTACGAAGGCCCCATTCTTTGGCTAGTCTTGAAGAATCTTCTACTTTAAACACACCCCTAGAACGATCGAGCCATTTGACACAATCGCCGAATTTGTCAGCTTGCTTTAAAAGTTCTTTGATAAACTGCCAGAGAGGTATATTTTGTCTTTGTCGGGGAGCTGGTCCTCTATGTGGTGAAGGTGTGGAAATGTGATGACCTGAAACGATGAAATAAACGAACATAAGTAAGGTTGTAACCTCAACAATGGTAACTGTATTGTTTGTGGGTTGGTGTGTTCGATCACTTGTCCTCAAGAAGGTTATGTAATTCGTGACAACCTCCTGGTACAATGATACTAATTAAGTAATGTCTTATCAAATTCGAGCAGTTTCTATTTACTTACTACGTCATCAAATGTTTACTCATCTCATCTCGAAACTACGAGAAGATTCTAGAAGGGGATTTTCCCATCTTAAAAATGCGGTCAATGACTTTTTTTCAGTCTGAGTCACATGGTGAACACATTAGTCTCAAAAGGTGACATTAATGCATGACGACAATTTATAACAAAATAACACATAAAGATTTATTTAGTCAGTCAGATAATACTTTAGCCTATTTTCTTATAAATAAACAAATACCTATTTCCATCTGAATACATTATGTCTATCGGGCAATAATTCTAATGACAAAACTTTCGTTGAGTTAATAACCTTTCGGGACTTGTGGCATGAGGCCAAAATATTCAGTTTGTCAATTCACTGTTACTTACTTCTAGATGAGTTGGAATCTTCAGAAGAACATGAACTATCTAAACTAGGCGAGGGGGAAACACAAGGTACGGGATGATATGATACGCTGTCGTTTAAAACTGGTGTGGGAATGTTTGATTGATGACTGGGATAATCTGTTAATCTGCAAGCTGAAAAATAACAAAAACATTATTAAAAACGTTATACTATATAAGCAACTGAGAATATTTTTAAAAAAAATGTTATTGTAGCAACTGTAAATCTTTAAAAACGCTATCTTAGTAACTGCCAATAGTCAAAAATGGTATCTAAGTAACTGTAAATTGTTATAAACGCTATCATAGCAATCTCAAACCGTTAAAAAAAACGCTATAATAGCAACTGTAAATAGTTAAAAACGCTATCTTAGATTGGTTTTAACTATCACCAATCTTCATTACCTATTCCTAAATCACATAAGAGTAAGAAGTAAAACTCTCTTATATTTTTGTTATGATCTGTTTGATGTATATAGATTCTAATGTAAAGCTTACCATTTTTCCAGATTTCCAGCTGATTGAAAAGGGTGGATCCGGATTCAGGACTTTTGCACACAAAATCACACTCTGATAACATGCATAAACTAATTCCGTTCATTCGGATAAAGTCCATATTGGGTTTGATTGAACCATATTTTCTACAGATCCAATCAATCCACTTATGAACATCGTTAACACCCCAGAACGTTGGATCTAAAAAGTAAAAAAAAAAACAATTTATTAACTACAGACTTTCGGTTTTGAAAAGAAATCAGATGAAGTTCTGTCATTTAGAAATTAAAGTTCTCGTAAGAGTATATAGACGATTTTGGTGTTGTTATATACATTGTATAGAGCACACGAGATAGAAATGAAGTTATAGCAGACGACGAGATTGAAAACATTAAACTTAATCTAGCAGACGAAATTCATATATCAGCAGACGACATTTCGCCCGGGAGTAAACATTAATATACTTTCAAACGTTGAACAATTTTCAAACTAATTGTTATTGCTTACCTTCGCTAATGTTCAAGGACAATGCTTCTTTACGAATATCTGTTTTAACGACGGACACTAGCATTTTTTCAAAATCTTGAATATTTTCGGGTTCTCCTTCTCTGACCGCTCCCATCTGGGTGAAGGACGAAGTAATATGTTGACTAGGTTGATTATTATAAAAAGGTGTATCTAAGTCGTGGAATTGTTTGATATCACTGTTTTCTAAGTTTGGTAACTGCTCTGTGACATCAGGGACTGCGTCTGGGACGAAAGTGACATTGGAATGCGACTGTTTGCAAACTTGCAGAATTGAATCTAAGGTCTCGTCGTGTCTGGTGATGTTATCTAAACGATAATCCATTTCATCGGCTGTGGTGAAGTTCTGAAACTGTGGAACCTAGAAAAGACAAATGAAACGAACGATATAAGTAAAGATTAACTTAACGAAAAAGCATCACTTGTAATTCTTGAGTGAAAGATAAACCTATCTGATTATGCATCAAACATCGAACTTTTTTTTCCGAAATTACAAAAAAAAAATAAGTGATAATCTTGAAAGGATTCTACTGGTTTTTTTTGTTCATGGTAGGTAACAAGTTTTTGTACTTACAGTGTGATCGTATTCCCAAACCATGTCTGCGCCTTCGTTTTCTATGATGGAATTGTACTCTTCAATAAACTTAAAGTCTTTGATATCTGCATACAAATAAAGAGAAGTTATAGGAAAACTTTCAATATATTTTATAAAATTTCCATTGCGCAATACAAATCCAGATACACTTTTTAAGTAATAACGAATTAAGTCAAACGTTCAACTTAAGCATAATTTTCAAAATCTAAAAAATAACTAACATTCAAAACTTTTCCAAAGTTAATGTATTGCATGCAACAGTCAAAGATAAATGAGTTTAAGCTTCTTAAAGGTAAGCCTTTTTATATCGCTTTCCGAAATTGAAAATAAAAAAGTTAAATAAAAACCTAAAATTTCCCCTTTTCCCTATTTTTGATTTCATAGTATTATCACTATGTATATTATAACAGTAAAAGACTTAGTCTTACCGTTATCCATTGATATGGCTATCCTTTATCACAATATTTGTAAAAGTAAGGATTCCCCCGTTGAATTAACTATTTATAGGTTGGCGAATGGATTTCTGGGAAATTATCTCATGGCCTCTTTCCAAGCAAACCTCATTACGCTGTTTATTGTTTATCTAGCTGATTGGATAAAAATCTAGCTGGAGCGAACCTAGAGTATTGACAATCTGTTTTTGACCGAAAATGGCGGAAAATATTTCTCAGATAGCGACATTTTAGCTTAAAAATGGTAAAATAACATGTATTTTCATGCACTTAGTGAGCATAAAAAAGAAATAGGTCATGGTTAGTATTATTAAGCCCGATTTCTTAGAAAATGATGAGAAGTCGACCCAGAAATCTGATTGGTTAAGAAATCGCTACGTCACGACCAATCAAATGCAAGTATTATTGGTAAATAACTGTGCTTATCAACACCAGCTACGGGGTACAGAATGAGAGTATGTCACGTAAACCCTTAAGGCCAATTTACACCGATATCGAATGCATCAATGAATAAATTACTCAGTGAAATTTCAGTTTTTAATCGGTATTAATTTGCGACATTTAAAAACGAGTCTTTATAAGTAAGTGATCAAAGCATTATGACGACTTTTTAGCCTAAACTGCGCAATGAGTTGGTCCCCATCGGTCAAAACCCACCAAACAGTAAATTCGGTTGAACTAGCCTTTACCAACACTATTTTCTTTATGTTTTGTTTATTGGAGCAAGTGAATTCATAATATTTAAGGGAGTGGGGACATCACGCCAGTCGTATAAAAACACCACGCGGTCTGTGGTAAAAAAAAAGATTATAACGGTTGATTTGCGGTGTATATTGGGCAGACCACAAGCAATATTGTAGTTTATTAACAATTATAATTGAGAGATCATTATTTATAATTCCGATTCACCCAAGGAAAGACAATTGGGACAACACAAACCACAAAATATGACATTTATTATGATTTTTTTGTTTCAAAATATCTTTTGGTCTCTGCCAATAATTGGATCAAAAAGGCATGGGAAACAATCGCGATTAAAGCCATAAACATTTTATATTGCTTTTATGGTATTATTTGGTCGGATCGAGATATAGAAATATTACCATTATATATGGAACCATGTTCTTAGAAGGCGCCCCAGTTAAATCGAACAGTATTCATTTTGATTGAGCACCATTTTCAATGATAATTAATTCAGATTACGAGCTATGCTGTTCAGCAATTCTAGAGCACACCATCTTCCAACTTCGGGATCAAGTCAGTACGCCTACACTAAACCCCCATCACACACAGCCCCTTCTCCGCCCCTCCCTGACCAAAATTCAACAAGACCTCATCATAAGAGTTCGGAAGTTTATTTCCTCTCATCCCACGAAATCTTTCCAAAACTTAGCACGAATCTATCATTTGTATTTCGATCGATATCATATCTGGAACATCAAGACTTTGATACTATAAAAAAAATCCATTTATCATTTCAGCTCTAATTGACGAATCACGTTTTCATTATAGGCAATGAATAATGTTGGATTGAATTTAATATAAATGATTTATTTCTCTATCAAGTTACATCTATATTATCACTGACACTGGTTAACAATAATACCAAATAAAATAGCTTAGCACCTATTGTTGTTGTTCGTCTAGTTTTTATATTGTTCACATGCCGAGTTATTACAAACTGCGTCTACTACCTTGACTGCAATATTACAGAAGTTCGTAGTGATTTGATTGGATTGTACGATTGTGAATACAACCAATTATTAGATACAGTTCGTGACATTGACACTGTGATTATGTATTTAGTTCATAGCTTTGCACATTTTTTCCTGTTCTATTTCTTATTCACAAACGGTTTAGACTTCTGTTAACAAATAGTTTTTTTTAAAAGAGAGGACGGTGTTCAGAGTTGTTAACTGGCTATTTCTCGGAAGAGGTGGTTCAGGTACAATTTTCAGAGTGAAAAAGTGGTTTGTGGTGGTTTTGGCGCGTTCTCGCTAACCTAAAGGTCGAAGGATTTTTCAAAAGTTGAAGTAGGCCTACACCATTACTACTGTCTGAGCAAAGTAAAAAGTTTTTTTGAATTTTTCAAATATTTTTATGACAATTGAAATATCGAAAAACTTGCATAGACAATAGTATTTAATTTTCTGTTCAAAGGTAATTGACTCTCGTTTAGATTCTATCGATAATTGGTCTTTACCACACCATAACTAGTTTTCCATCCTGTGGTCCTTTATACCAACGACCACATGTTACCCAAAGTGTTAAGAAACCACCAATCTGTGACCATATCTTCAGGCAGTTCACAGTATCTCATCAATTCCAATAACGGGCCCTTCGATCAGATGTGTTGCAAGCTAATCAAACGAGCTATTCTCTGGGGTT